CTGTCTAATATCAATCTGTCAGGAGATAGTGACAGAGTGAACAAATATGTTAAAAATATATTTTTAGAAAAGTTACATACTGCACCTTTAAGGGGATGGAAATGTTTGTGAAGCCATATTTTCATACTTGTTTGAGAGAAAGTTGTACTTTAATCCAGGGTATAGTTTAATCTTGGGTATAGGATTGTGGAATGGTCTGGAAGATGATCTTAAAAATACCAGATCTATGTATATATTTAAGAAACAGATAAAGCTAGTTTTCTGAAGATATATGGAAAAGTATGAGTTGTTGTTTGAGTTGATGTTTTTATATTTATTTGTATAGTTTTGTAAATTATGTTTTGTTTGAATATATATTGGGGATAAAAGGGGCAGACATTATAAAATTTATTCTTCTTCTGCTACCTTTCATTTTATTGTGAGTTCTGATTTGTGCATTTCCTTTGTTTTTGCTGTATATAGTTATTTTTTTAACGAAATGAATAAATTTTTTGACTTGAGTTGAATGTTTAACCCGGTGTTTAACAGGGGAAAAGGTAGCCCGAGCCACAGGTTGAATTGAGTCAAACAAAGTGGATAAAACTCCCCCCTCTTCCTCACCTTCAGAGTGCTCTGCAGGGCCCGCAGCGTGAGCGCTTTCTCGTTGATGACGGGATTCTTGTTGCGTCGGATGAAGGACTTCCTGAAGTGGTCCTGTGTCAGTGGCTGCTCGTGACCGATCAGAGAAACCCCTCCTTCCTTTAGGTTGTTCAGCATCATGCCCATCTCATCAACTGGGGCGGCTTCTCGAGGGAACAGAAACACAAAACACTTTTTTTTTTCTTTACTTAGAAATCCATCTACAAATTTACCTTAATTTATATTTCAGGACCAGTATTTTTTCGGGGTTATTTCCCTTGTTTATTCTTAGCAATATTTACTATCAGTATTTTCCTTGTGCTCAGTTGTTCTCCGTGTTTCATCACTGTCAGTATTTTTCCTCAGTATGTCTCTGCTCTTTGCCCCCGCCACGCCCACCTACATGTGTGTCATCACATGTTTTCTGCCATAGAAGCTGTTTTGTTTCATTTGGTTTCTTGAATCTCTAAGTTCAACTCACGATCCTCACGTTGCTCTGCGTCTAACTACCACCAGCCGTGACACAATTAGACTAAACTGAGTTCTGCTGTTAATTTTTAAATTTTTTTTAATGAAATCCCTAACAAAGGAAGGCATATCACCGGTTCACACCGGTGTTTTAGACTGACATCAGTGTGTACTGAGAAATGACGAAGACATTTCAGGTCAAACTTTGAAAATACATGACGCAACATTGTGAGACGTCATGCTCAGCGTATGTGTTGGACATGACTCTCAGCTACAGACACATTTATTTTAAGCTCGATGTCTGTAGATCGAAGGCATTTTTGTGTCYGCTAATGCCGATTGGTTTTGTCGGCCATCTTGAATTGACCTTAAATGTTAACCAGTTGAAGATGTATGATGGATGACTCAAAGTTTCACGAAAATCTGTGAACCATGAGATARTTTTGCTAACYGACAAACACAGTTGACTCCAYAGTTTTAAARACGTTTTTTGTGCTAACAGTTAGCACGTAGAGCAAAACTAGYAATCAATCTCAGCTACTGATACTAACAAAAACTTTAGCTCAATATCTGTAGTATGAACTGATTTGTGGGTTTTGTTATGTTTGAATAGCTGTGGTGGCCATCTTGAATTGAGTTAACTCCAAAAGTGTAGTCATCAACRCAATTGTAAATTTCTGAAAMCTTCATTAAAATCAATTCTGTGAATAGTCATATATTTCAGTAATGATCCAAACAAACACATGCAGACACYGGCCAAAACATTCCCACTCAGGACTCATTCCTCCAAAGTCAGATTTATAAATCCAGGATATCAGCTGTAAACTGAGCTTGAACAAGCCTTCAACAGCTGTAATCTGTTGCTCTATTTAGCTCTGTTTGGCATAATCGGGCACTGAGACTATTAAAGGTGAAGCTAAAGTTTTTTTCTTCACTTTTTTCATGGGTAATCTGATGAAAACAAATATATTTACTCTGTAATATTTTAATGCAAAGAAAAAAAGAATAAATTTAATAAGTGTATGAAGAACTGATTTCTGATCAAACACTGCAAAAATTAGGTATCTAAAAATAAGTTAAAATAGGGGAGACCGGGTATGGTTGTAACATGGGGAGAGTTGTAACACCACCAGTTCCACCAATCAGGGATAAGATAGGAGTCACGTGATCAT